ACAACCAACTATCACCTTCACTGCGGCCTCTGGTGGTGATGGGGAAGCCGGGGTCGGTCGGGGTCAGCATGGGACGGGAACGGGCTCCAGGATGATGGGTCTGCAACACTTTGAGCCCAGGTTCGCATGTCGTCGTTTCCGGCATGCATCTCGAACCTGTTCCCGTTCCCGTTCTCGGCCAATTCCAGGCCTCCCATTCTCAGGCCGGGGCGGGCGACGCACCCAATGCTCGAATGGTAACTTGTCAAGGCGATTGCCAATCATTCAGAGCTGACAAGACGGTCCCAGCGGTTTGGGTTGGCTTGACATGCGCTCGAAGTGAGGCGGGAGGGCTTGGAGCTTGCAAGGGATGTCGGGTAACCCCGTGTGGAGCTTGCAAAGCTGAGGCGGGATGGTACGCGATTGGTGCCGCCTGACTGGTTCCGGGACAACCCAAGCACCAAGGACGAACACCTTGGCCAGGCTGAGGCTTGATTGGCGGGCAGATCTCTAGACTCGAGGCTTGAGATCGGTCCAGGCTGAGCAGGACGCAAAAGCATCAGGCGTGTCTCTGCTCGGGCTTGCCTCCGTCGCCAATCTCGACGATAAAGGCGCATCAGCAGGTACGGGCCGCGTGGGCATTAACTCTGGTCCCAAGACCACGTTTTCAAAAATCTGATCTGTCGGGATCGGTGGGTAGTGGTCACTGGTGAGGAGCCAGTGGGGGGATGTGGTAGTATCAGTGTGACAGAACAGCACGCCTGCATCCTGAGTGTCAACGAACGACATCAAGCCGGGATCTCGGTTGGGAGGAAGGGCATGGATATGCTCTGGAGTCGGTGGTGTGGGCTGCCTCTCGCCGCCAAGACGAACTGATGAAGCGGGAGAGTGGACCAAGGGAAGAGCGGTGATGAGGATGAGTCTTGAGAGAGCCCATGGTGGCCATGGTGTCCATGGCAGGCTGAACTGAACTGTGATGCGGGTGCGTATGAAACATCGGTGTGCGTATCTGCGCTGTGACGGAAGCAAGCCATTCACATCAGAGGTCGGGATGAGCACGGTGGTTTGGCCGGTGCTAACGTTAGTACGGATATCAAGTCAGCCATTGCCGCTCGGATGACTTTCCTTGGTCACTCGAACGCGCGCATGGCGTCTTTTGCCTCGTTGAGCTGACGGGCGTTGTCATGAAGCGCTGTCTTGAGTCGACACTGTAGGGTAGAGTAGGCGCGAGACGCACGCTTCAGCCTTTGAGGTGCAGTTGCCATGAGTGATATTGGTGATGGATGGTTTCCTTTGATTGTTGTTTGGGAGTGGGTTATTACCGCGACGTTGGTAGCAGCTTGATTGCGGTTGACGGTGGACGAGGCTGTTGGGTGAGATGAAAGGTTGTGGTACTGGCCGCTCACCAACGCTCATGCCATTGTGGTTGCAGGAGATGTATGTGCCCGGTAAGCAGGCCCCACAACTGCAAACTGCTCCTTCCATCTCTTCTCAACGTGAATGTACGCTGCAGTATGGATAGGTGCTGCAAGTAGGCGTTGAAATATTCATGCAGCTTAAGCTCTCGGCCAAACTTGACTTGCTTACCTGACATCTAGGTATTCTGAGTACAATGTTAACAGATCATCACCATCGCCAAACAGCCTCATGCTGTGCAACAGATCTTACCTAGTAGGGTAATGCATGTTGGAGTAGACCTCCATCGCTGAAAGAGGCAGGCAGGCGGATTCGGATTCAGCTCCCGTCCTAGCGGGACGCGCCTAACTCGATGTCGACGGCGCGCTTGCCCCGATCCCCGAGCCCGCTAAGCCTGGGCGACCCACTCATCGCACATGCTCATCCTCCTGATTGGCATCATCACAGAAGGTCTTCACACGGTCGCCAGAGAAGGCATACGCGAACAAGAGATCTGCTCCCTACGACTGAGCGTGACCTCCACAGCCTCCAATGCCATCCAGAGAGCATGCCATCCCCTACCGATGACGAGACGACCTTCCCCTCGTTAGACCGTTCGACACTTCATGGTTTTGGCCGCTCCCATCTCTCCCCTGACGATGCCTTCGTGTCGCCGCCTCGCCGTCCTGGCGAGCGTAGTAGGAGTCGCAGGCGCAAGCGGCCATGGAAGAAGTTGATGTGGGTGAAGCAATCATGTAAGCGTCTACTGATCAACTGCTTTCCGCGACGAGAGGGACGGGAACTAACCAAGTTTTGTACAGATCCCGACAACTATACCGACCAAGCGACCTTTCTCGAGAACCTACAGCGGAATCCCCGTCTTAAGCCGTATGACTTTTGGCCCCTCGTCGCCGACTCAACAGTTATACTGCAGCATGTTTGCTCCGTTATTATCTTCATCGTTTGCTTTGTTGGTATATTTCAGGAGCGTGTCTCTCCCGTGTCTGTCACAAGTTGGAGCAGCTTCCTTACTTTTGTCGGATGGATTCTCTGGGAGCGCTGGTTGTCCGAGATCGAGGACCCCGGTGACACGAGCCACGGAGTGGCAGCAGCAACAGTGACGGGGAGAGTTGGCCGGACCGGAAGCATGAGGCGACCGGGCCGCGCCGGTAGTATTCGGCGCCCCCCTCCGCTCCGGATCGATTCAGTCCCGTCGACCGCCGGACCATCGGCCGCGCCGTCGGCCTCGAGCTCGACCACCAACCTACACGCGCACCATGCCATCAAACGAGCGCAATCCACTTCAACCAGCTCGCTGACAAGCGGTGCTGTGCACACACCTCGGGCAAGCCAGGAGCACCTCCCCGAGCTACCACAACCCCTTCTTGCTGAAGAGAGCCGGTCTCGACAGAGAGCTGAGACTATCAAGTCGGCAATCCTCATCTACTGCACACTTCTTGGACTTAGCCCCATCCTCAAATCCCTTACCCGGTCCACATCGAGCGACAGCATCTGGGCCATGTCCTTCTGGCTCCTCGCCATAAACATCTTCTTCTTTGACTACTCGGGCGGCGTGGGAGCCAAGTTTCCCGCATCACTCTCGACCAATGCTGCCCTCATGGCATCGACGGTATTGGCAAGCCGGCTACCATCCACGAAGCAGGTCTTTAGCTTGACGCTGTTCAGCATCGAAGTGTTTGGCCTGTTTCCCGTCTTTCGACGATATGCGAGGCACCGCAGCTGGCGATTCCATGTGGTGTCGGCCATCTTACTGGTACTGGGGGCTGGACTTGGAGTAGGCCTCATACTGGGCGATACCAAGGGCACTGGTGGATGGCCATGGAAGAGCGGACTCGTGGGAATGATTGTAGGAGTACTCATCGCGGTACTGGCAACAGGAGGATGCAGCTGGTGGTTGATTGGATTACAAAAGTACAAGAATGAGATACGAGGACCTTGGGACCCAGCGAGACCCATCATCATGAACCGGCCTCGGTGGGATGACGATTCATGATGGTTACGTAGGTAGTTTAGACGCTTTAATCAATACTTCAACTGTTCAAAGCCCTTGGCGAGATGTTGGTTAGCGTTTGGACGGTGACTGCCAAGCTTTCTGTCAAGCAGCATTGCATAGCGCTAAATGCGGATCGGCAGCATCTGAATCTGAGGGAGAGGCAGAGACCGGTCCAAGACAAGATGAGGCAGAGGCAGACTTGTATCCGTACAATTCGGTACATGTTACGTTGCCATGCATCGATTTTAGGCAGGCCAGTGGAAAGTCTGTTCGTATTTGCCAACACCTACGTCCTGATCCTTGGACCCCCATCTGCATGCGTGTGCATGGCGACAAGACGCGAGTGTCATGTACTGTCGTGGCTGGCCAGGCACCGGAGGTAGGTTGAATCTCGAGTAAAATAGAATCTAGCATGCTTCTCTGAGAAATCATAGCCATCGTGGTCTGACCTGACCTGAAGCCGTCATGTGAGGGTCAGCAGTTGCCGAGATGCATCCATGTATGGATAAAAGAATGACCCTGCAGTGTTGAAGCCGTCCCCCCTCACCAGAATTAGAAGCACCTTGACGAGTCAACAAAAAGCCCCCGAGGTACCCACCAATGATCCCTGAGAGGATGGCAGTGAGTTCTGCACTCTCAAACGAGGGATTGACGCCGCTGCTCCTCATAGAGAAGGAGAGAGACGATGGGCCGGCCCAATGGCCTTGAGACGTTGGCATGGCAATGCCTCACGAGAGGATTGATCCTTTCCCAGAGCGGCATGTACCATGCGAGAAGATGGAGGGGATATAAGGTAATAAGCTGACAACTGAGTAAGCCCTCTCTCCATCTTGACCTTTCCTTTTCACCCCCAGCCTCACCAAGAGTTTTCATCTCGGTGGTTCTGGTGGCCATGGCGTGGTTTCTCGGCTGTTGAACCACCCCCAGCATCTTCTAATGACCTCTTCTCTATTCGTAGGTACTCAGTTGATGGGTTTACAGGGTCAAAAACGGATGATTCTGGCAAGACCTGGGGAGGGGAGGAATTGAAGGAAAACTGGGGCCTTCTCGATGCAAATGGGGGCCATGTTGTACGTATCCGTATTGAATTTCTGTCTGGGGCAAAACGGGAAAAACGGCACCAAGGATTCATTCCTTTCTAATGGATTTTGTTGGGCAGGTTTCAGCCAAAAGTTTAAAAAAGAACTTCTGGGCAAACACGTTCAAGCTTTGGCTGGGCGGGAATGGCTCCTGTCGTCTAGATTGGGGAAGACAAAGTACCAGTACGGGGGATTTACACGCTACTTTTCTCAGGCACGTAACCCCCGGCACGCATAGCGCAGGGTCTAGTGGACTCTAGCTCCCAAGCTTCCAGGGGTCCAGGGGCAGGACAGGCAGCCCAGAGCAGAGACAAGCCCATTAGAGGCCCGTCCGACCAGCCGATGAATGGATAATTTGATCCATCGGGAGCCCGTTTCCCTCAGTCAAGAGACCCTTGTCCGCCTAACAAGGCTTGTTCTTATGGGGTAAGTTAATTAACCAACAGCGCCTCCGGGAGTTGGAAGCAGCTATAAAAGGGCCTGGACCGACCTACCGATGAGCGCCTCTTACCTCTACCCACCAGCATCATCATCTCGAGCTTACGAATTCAACGAACAAGACAAAATTTCCTCATCAATTGTGCTTCCAACTCTATAATTCAAAATGAAGGCTACTCTCTTCCTCGCTGCTGCCGGCCTGGTTGCCGCTCAGGACTTCACTGGCCAGCCCAAGTGCGCTGTAAGTCAACATCAACATGGACACCTGTGTCACAACAACACCGTCTAACACAATCCCAAACAGCTCAAGTGTCTTGAGGAGTACGTCCCCAAGGCCGGCTGCGACCTCGAGGATACCGCCTGCCAGTGCGACCCCGCCTTCCAGGAGAAGCTCACCCCTCAGATCTCGCCCTGCCTGATGAAGGAGTGCGAGGCTGCCGACCTCCCCAAGGCTCTCGCCGCCGCCCAGGCTGCCTGTGAGGCTTTCTCCTCGGCCGCTGGCAAGTCTACCGGCACCGTCACTCCCACTGCTACCGTCTCCGCGACCGAGGTTGAGACCGAGACTGAGACTGCCTCTGATGAGGAGGACAACACTGAGACCGTCACTGCCAGCGTCGACACCTCCATCACCGGCTCTGTCACCCTCCCTGCCATCTTCTCTACCACCACCGACGTCCCCGTCACCCCTGGCCCCAACAACAGGACCACCACCAAGGCTACCGGTACTGGTGCTAGCGGAAGTGATGGCACTGGCTCCGGCTCCGAGACCAGCGAGACCGGCGCCGCTGCCTCTGAGACTGGTAACGCCGCTGCCATGACCGGCCCTGCCATGGGCGGTTTCCTCGCCATCCTGGCTGCCTTTTTCGCTCTGTAAGGTGTGAAAATTCATACACAGGTATAATCCGGTGATAGAGCGCCTGGGGAGTAATCTTAATGGGGTCTCCATTGTGAGGCCTGGGCGTTGTTTAATGTTCTGAAACGAGAGTTATGCTTCGAGATATGACACTTGGGATGTTTTTTTGGTCGCTTTTTGGATATTGGCTTTTGATGAAAAGGCTATATCTATTTGCAATAGCGGACAACAAAAAAAGTAATGATGGAAATGGATTTGCTTGCAATTTGTCAAGCACGTAACCCCTGGCTCCTCTATCCTGCTCTCCCTCCGTGACCACTTTCGTTTTAACCTTGAGGTTCCTGATCGTCATTGGCTTTGGCCAGGTCGATGTCGATGAGCCACGGTAGCTGTATGGCTCGGTATTGGATACTCATGATGGCGGCATTCAAAAACAGCGTCTTCTCCCCCTGCACGAGATGGTAGTCACCCTCGGTGAGATCAAGATGTGCACCCCTCCGCCGGCTCATTTCGATGAGCTTCCTCTTTGCTTCCTGGAACGTCTCCTCATCCTGCGTCACGCGGTTCGGCCGCAGACCTTTCAGTCCAACAGCTTTGGACTGCTCCTGGTCAATCTTGTCGTCGTCCCACGTGGCGAGGAGCGAGCCCCATGCCTCGTGAATGTGTCCAAAGCAGTGGATCTTTGGCTTCGCGAGGGTAACGGCGCGCAGGAGGTCGGGGCATCCGGCCCGAGTCCCCGTCATGCCAGCAAAGTCGAGGATGCCAATCGGAGGACCATGGGTCATGGCCACGTCCATGCCCTCGGGGATCTTGAAGTCGTGGCCGTCGTCGTATTGGAATGCCCAGCCGCCAAATGCAGGTGTCCACTGGCTTGCAAACACCTTTAGTCGAGCCCCGTTGTCCAAGGTGAACTCGTGAACGCCTTCGGTGAGATATCGAACCCCGTCTTCTTTGGCAGCTTCGATGATGTCCTTGACTTGGTTCATGGTCTTTGTAGTACCTCCGACTTCATGAATCCAGAAGTGCTCGTCAAGAGCAGTATCGTGATTCCCTGCAATGACCAGCTTGAGAGGAGCCCGGATGGAGCGTAGCACATCAAAGGTCGCTTGATATTCCGGGACGGTTGAGCGCAGGGTTAGGTCGCCACAATGGAGGACAACATCCGCTTCTGGTAGAGGCTCCCTCCAACCGGTATGAACCCACTTTAGGTCGTCGTGATCGAATTCATCTTCAGTGGCTGGCCAGCCGTCGTCGGGTTTGGGTTTTGGTTGTGAGCCGTGGGTGTCGGATATGATGAGGATGCGCGTCTTGACTGTACTTGAAGCGCGGGATCCAGACATTTTCGAGTCGATATGAGTGACGACTTCAATAAAGAAGAGATCGATGCAGGGTTCAAGTTTCGAGGGCTTAGGGCACAAAGAAAAGGTGTATATGTAGGGGCGTAGGCAGAAAAGCTTGTTGGTCTACCTGGTAGGCATCACAGGAGGCAGCCGTTTCGAGAGGGCTACTGAATAGGTAATATACTGTAAGCACCTCTGAAGAAGAAGAGAAGAAATAGGTAGTGACTCAATGTTTGAGAGGAGTAAAAGAAAGCAAAGTAAATCAACAAAAACAATCATAGGTTAACATCATGACACAGCCAAAGCCATCATGGATGCTTGATGAAGCAAGCTTCAGCTGACGTCGATAGAGTACAAAGTGGGTCAAGCAGCTCCCAAGTTCCTTTGTGCATCCTCCACTTCCCTGCGCCAACGTAAAGGAGAGAGGCCATCAACACGCATCACCACCAACGAACACCACCCCTTTTGCCTGATAACTCGTACTGCCATCCTAAAATGGCTGCTGAGGCTTCTCAAGATGTACCAATGGGCTCACCTCCACCGGCGCCCGCGCAGACAGACACGGAGCCCAAGTATGGCGGCTACTCGCGTTTCGAGATTGAGCTCGAGGTTCGTTCTGCGCTCTTCTCTCCCTTTCTCCCTGGCTGACCTTTGTTATTTACAGTTTGTGCAATCTCTAGCCAACCCTTACTACCTCAACCATCTCGCCTCCCAGAAGCTCCTCAACCAACCCGCCTTTGTCGCATACCTCGCCTATCTCCAGTACTGGAGCAAGCCGCCGTACCTCAAGTACCTGACCTACCCGGGTCCGACACTGCGACACCTCGAGCTCCTTCAGCAGGAGATGTTTCGACAACAAATCATGAGCCCGGACGTGGTTCAGAGACTGGTTGAGGAGGGCATGAAGGCCTCGATCGATTGGCACCGCGAAAGCTAGAAGACTTGCGACCAAGGCGACGACGTGCCTTGTGTAGGACGCGAACGATCACACGAGCCACGGCAAGAAGACCAGAGAAGCCCCCAGGAACAAGATGACATCAAGTCTCCTACGCCGAAGAAGAAGACGATCAAGATTAAGATCAAGACGAAGCAGAAGCCTTCTCATACGTAACTGCCCAGGTCAACAAACACCTCGCAACATGGCAAGGCTAAAAGGATTTTTGATTCTTCAAACTCGAAAAACACGAGCTACAGTCTATGACAAACTCCAATTCTCCTCGCAACCAAGAACAAATGACAAGACCCTCCACCGACACCGACTCATAACAAGCCTAGTTCTCTCTCCACCGATGTCCGCAAGTCATGCACTTGTAAAAGCTCGTCATGGGCTCGTCAGCACTGCGAATCTGGACCTGGAAAAAGGCGGCCTCGTCGCCGTTGCAGCCGTCGTTGGGGCACTGGACGCGGCCCTTTTGCGCATTGTCCCAGGCTCCGGGGCCGCCAAAGACGTCCTCCTTCTCGACGCGCTCGTACATGCGGCGCGAGAAGACGGGCTCGGTGATGTGGTGCTCGAAGGGGCAGGTGCGGCACTCGAGGCGGTTGGTGCGCGTGTTTGTGAAGGAGACGGTGAGGATGTTGGCGCAATGGGGGCAGACTGCCAATTTGTTAGTGAGGTTGGTGTTGGGGACGGAGTGAGTCTTACAGAGCAACATAGTGACGGTTTGTTAGGGATGAGAGTCGATAGCAAGAAACTGTCTGCAATAGAGCTTTGTGTGAGAGCGAAGAGTGTCTTGTTGTTTGTCGTTGCGTCGTTAACTCGCCTGTTGAATAGAAATGAATATGACTTCTTTTTTTTCTCCAAGGCAAGAATGGAGTCGAGGCCGCCAAGGCCTCCACCTCGTGGGTGCCCAGGCGGCGTCTCTAGTGGGGTCCAGCCTCTACCATGACGGACCATGTCTTTAGCGCCATCTCCCCCGCCATTTCCTGCTCTTTTGCAACTGCTTGCTTGCCCTGGGCGCTTCAGCCTCAGCCCCTCCAAAAACACCAAAGACAAATGCTACATCATCACTGCCACCTCCTTTCATTATTTCCCCCCCTGGTGACGACGACGACGCCGCAAATACGTTGCCCTATTTTTGAATTTGCATACCTCCCGAGCATTCCGGAATCTCGCATCGAAACACACTTCAATCTTTTCTCCATTGTCAAACCAACTGACAGATTATACCCCGCTTCCCTTTGCAAATCAGCTTGATATACACGTCTTGGTGAACCAGCAAAGATGGGCGCTGACGAGGAGCACGATGTAAGCCAGGTCTCAACACTTTGTAAAACTGTACACTCTAACCAACACGCATAGGGCGCCTCCGTCAAGGAGATCTTGATCGAGGCATGCCGCCGCAACAACACCGACCTCCTCACCGAGTGCCTCGAGGACAAGTCCGACCCCGAGATCACAAAGCTCCTCAACGAGACCACCACCGTCATGGGCAACCACCTCTACCACGAGGCCGCCTCCCGAGGCAACTGTGCGTCCTAGTCACCCACGACCGAAGCATACAACGAGCTAACACCACCACTTAGACGAAATCATCGACCTCCTCCTCGACCAGCCCGACTTTGAATGCGACCCCCTAACCCGTCTCGAGGGTGACACCCCCCTCCACACCGCCATCCGCTGGATCAACTCTGAGCCGCCTGCCCAGAGACCCTTTGGCAACGCCCTCGTCGAGATGATGCTCGAGGCTGGCTCGAACCCGCGAGTCAAGAACAAGGCCCGCCTGACTCCATACCAGCTCGTCGACCCCACCAACAAGGAGCTGCGCGATCTCATCCAGAAGCACGAGTACGCCAACCAGAACGCGGGCGACTTCATCACCGTCGATAGTTCGGCAGCCAGTGCCAAGCATGGCGCCCACAAGAATGCTGTTCCACAAGCCGTCGACGATGAGAGTGATGACGACGCCGAGTTTAGCGGCAGTGATGAGGAAGAGCGCGCCGAGTGGGAGAGGAGACGAAAGGAGAGGCGGAGATAGTCATGAATGCGCCGCTGCGCTTAGAAACACTTGATATCTAGAGGTCACTTCACCGCAGAGGGAAGTGGACTAATACGAGGTGGACATACAGCATGATTGTTATCTCAAAGCGATAGAAGCCTGTACAAAGGTAGAGAGAATAACAACTTCTCATCTAGGGCATCAAAGAAAGAAGGGTATAAGCATTCTGGCCCAGGGATTTGAAGCCAACTCCCTGCTCAGCTCATCGTCTATCATCTAATCGTGTGCTCATTCTCGATCCAAGCCGACTTCAGGAAAGGAACAGTCAAAAGGACGTGCAAGATCAGGAACCAGCCTGTCTTCTATAAACAAAGGAAAGAAAGCATGCTCCCAGCTTCTGTCAAGTTGTCTCGGTCAGACCCCCCAAATGCTCATAATAGTAGCCATAGTCCAGTTGCCAGCGCCGCAGAGCCCATCGTAATAACTGCCGGGAACACATTATTCGCGATACTCTTGTCGGATATGATATATGTGACATTCTTGAGCCGCTTCTGGGCAACCTGCGATAGTCCCCCTGAATCGGCTAGCTCATTCATTTCATCACCCAACTGACGCAGAATGTTAGTCGAGCGACCCTTGGGGCACATGACGATCTCCCAGCCGCCTCCCTTGGGAATGATAAACGTCGAACTCTGATCGTCGAAAGCAAAGCTGTAGGCATCGGGACACATTGCTTTGGCGGCCTTGCTGTAATCCGATGGCTTGCAAATATCCGGGTCGTGGTATTTGCCTACACAGCACTCCTTGTCAGTGCCGTATGCGGCGCAAGCACTGTTGCAAGGTGAAAACTCGGGCCGCTGGATCTGATCGTCCGGGTAGGGGTAGATGCCGTCACCAGGCTTAGTGGGTGGAAAGGCGAGATACTTCCATGGACACCAGCGACGTGCGTCTTCGTTGTCTATCCTGTTTTCCAAAGGTACTGGATATGTCGAGTTGGTATAGTAAGTCCCAGTATCAGCGTGTGCATAGATCCAACTAGGAGATGCAATGCACGCGCAGTTGGTGAGATTTGGCGGGATGAAGGTTGTGTTCTTGGCAGGGATGTACACAATGCCCATCGGGAGATTATAGCCGTCAACTAGGGAGATGTCGTAGAAAGTTTGCTCCTTGTGTAAACCACCAGCCAAGGTGAACTCGGCGAGTGTTGCTGGCGTTGACCCCTAACTATATGTTAACACATGCGCAAACACTGTGGGAAGCACTTACACTGAACTCGCAGTCCAACTTGCCAAAGCAGTCGCCCGTTTTGCAGGAACATGAACTGCCCTTGACAGTGCAATTTGTCCTCCCCCAGACGCGACCTTGCCACTCTGATCCTACCCAAAGTTCCTTGCTCTTCCCCTGGGCAAGCTCGAAGCCCCCGATGCCCGGGCCTTTACCAGACTGAGTTGCGATGCCAGGCCAGATGGTTGAATCGCACTTGTTGGTAATGACTAAAGGAACCGGTCTGTCGGGGTCTTCTGGTTCTTTTCGGCGCAGATTTCTCACGGTGTATTGTCCCCATTTTTGTAAAAGGTCATTTTCTGAGATCCTGGAAGGGACCTCTAAACTGACAGCCCTGGCTTCCTGTATGAACAACCCAATGACGAGGGCAGGCACCAGCAGTCGGCGTAATGAAGAGGCGCTTCTGGCGTCTCCACATTTCGACGAAGATACCATTTCCTGGCTCAAAGGGTGTAAGTGGAACGCAAAAATGGGTTGTTGACTTGCGTTGTGATCCAATCGAGGTCACCCCAGAGGATTGTTTTGAGTCTAGGAGAACAAAGTGATGGAACGTATTAGTTGGTCGTGATCATGGCCTCGAAAGATAGCTGTCCACTGAAGCAAGTATAGTCGGCGAGCAGTATATGTAAGAGACGACGGCGTTGGGGTGCTTCCAGGATCGAGGGACTTATGTGACGTATAGGCGATGACGATGCTGCGAACCAAGACTGTCTTGCTGGATACCTGGGAACCGTTTCTTGATGACCCTTGTCGAATTGATCTGCGCTTGAGGCGTGGCAACGGAGAGTGGCTGGACAGACGATAGAGTAGGGCAATGAGCAGGGGTGGACCGGCTGAGACCGACGAGATCGGTTAGGTTGTCGTAGAGGAGCGGGCAAGGAGGGGAGGTGGCCAGAATCTGAAACGGCCGAGGAGGAGAGACGATACTATTAATATTCTTGGTGCTTGCTGATCAACAGAGAAACAAAAAGAGGGTAATAAATCCAGAGGGTTGAAGAAGGGTAGAAGCCCGAGAGTCGGCCTCGAGCAGGGGAGAGAATGGAGCTGAAGAAGAGAAGAAGAGAAAGAAAGACGGAAAATAATGAACCGACCAGTTTGAGACTTTGAAACAATGCAAAGGAAGGAGTAGACAGGGAAAGGTCTCACCGAGGGAAGGCGCTTCACAGCGAGAGCTTGCCATGTTTGTCTGGGCTGCCATGACTTACACGAGCTTGAGTGGCCATGGTTGAAAGCTATGACGTCAGAGGACCACGGACCAGGGATGTCGACAAGAACCAGACCCCTGGCTGAACATGCATGCCAGCAAAAGATCAGACGACCAATGTTGTGTGAATAACGATGATTGCAAATATGCGGTATAGAGTTAGATTCTACATGGACTCTGTGTTGGTAGCCGTGAACATTGATGCTGTGATATAACCTTCCTTTCAGCTGTTGGTGCCAAAAGTGAGGGCATCATGAGAACCTGCTGAGCATTGGTTCTATAGTGGAATTTGAATAGCTATTTCATCACACTTCTCATAGATAGGTTAAATGAGTTTTCTCGTAATTAAATTTCAATAGGCCAATTTGCTTGGTTGCTGAGATTAGACTGCAAAAGAATCGACATTCTCCACGGCTACTTTCAGTCCTGCTGTTTGAGAAAAGATGAATCTTCTCCAAGCAGCAACTTGACAGCTTGCCATGATGAATATGCCTACTGTACACGAGCCGCGCACGTGCGTTAGAGCCACGGTGGGCATTTGTATATGAGGTTCCAACTTAGTGTTGGGTTACTTACTGCTCTACTTCTTGAAGTAATCCCCACGTGCGTGGCACCTTGCATGACCCCACCATCCAACTCCCAACAACGCCCCAGTTCCAACCGTAATTGAACCTCGTTTGTTTTGTTTGCCTTGTCGCCAAGACACCCGAACGGAGGCTCTGGTTAAAGGCATTGGCATATGCTGGGAATTTGAGTTAATGAGCTTTCTTACGACCGACACTGACTGATCAATGCCATGTATGCCACCTTATCCTGAATATCGACTGCTAAATATTGCCGAGAGGGAAAAGGTATCACTGGGTTGGAAAGTTTGAGTCCATCTTTCGCCTGGGATTGGCCGTGTAACTCTGACCATGACTTGAATCAGGTTGTCCAAGTCGGCTGCTACCCCTTGCCATTTGGCGGATTGGGTTGTTCTAATTCAGTAACTTGGGCCCCAAGATAGGAGTCCTGACTGAGTTTATATACAGGATCAGAGCACATGTAGATCAAGATTTGGACATTCTCATACCCGATATCTGTGCATCATTAGTCACTAAACACACAAATCTTGTCGAGACGCTATGCACATTCAATGATGTCTCCATTGTCTATATACGAGTGATCATCATGTCGTTCATGCATGTAACTCTCCCCTCCGTCAATTCAGAACCCAACACCAGGCTTGGACACACCTGGTGTCAACCACGCTCAAGTTATTTAATCTCCTAGTACTAAATCCAACATCTTTCGTCGCTCGACATGTCTCTTTGGTCTCGTCGGATGATCCCAAGACGGTCCCAGATATTTCCCTCGCTCTGTCTGTCATATTTCGGGGGGTGCTCCGAGCGAGTCTCACCCGCCTCTGCATCTTGCCAGGTATCATGCGGTTCCAAAGTGAAACTCCAAGTTTATCGCTTTCTCTTTCCATTATACTGCATGTTTATCGGAAGCGGGCACGGCAGCGGCCCATGACTTCGCCCTGGCAGACAAGCTCGGCGCTGAATTCAGAGCCATCCAGGGTCAGGTAGATATCAAAGTAGACTCGGTAGAAGGTGCCTTGCGGGGTATCCATTCGTTCAAAGTCCTTCTCCAGGTTCTTGCGGGAGAGATCCGAGGTAAGCGTGACGACTTCCTTGATGCCTACGGATTGTTAGTATTTGGGTCGCTTGTAGACAGGAATAAACTTACGGGGATCCTTGGTGTATTCGGGGCAGACGTCATCGTCACAGGCGTACAGGACATCCTCGTACATGAGGGTGGCGCCAGGAGCGACTTGTCGGAAGAACGAGACCTTGACAGGCTCGCCGTTCTTGACCTTTTGGCCCTTCTGGACAAAGATCTGTCGGGTGAACTTGCAACGGTCCTTGCCGTCCAGAGAGGGCACACGGTAGGCCTCAGGGTGGTAGCCTTCCTTAAAGGGCTGGAGGGTGGCCATGAGGTAGTGTCGACGGGCAACACGGTGGGTGATGATTCGCTCCGTGATACCGGCGGTGACGGCACCCTTGACGATGGCGGCCACTGAGTCCATGGGGCGGACGACCTTGGACTGGAATTGGGGAGGAACGTGGAGCTTGATCTGCTGGAAGAGGTACTCGGAAGCACCGAAACCACCAACCACCAGGATGTTCTGGAGGGTACGGTTCTGGGCCTGGATGGCAATGATTTGGTTTCTCACGAGCTCCAGAATGCGGTTAACAACGGGCTCGAAGCACTGGAGAATCTCCTCGTTGGAGAAGGTCATGTAACCCTCCTCGATGCCGGCCTCGGGGAACTCAGCCTCGATACCAACGTCGACAGCCCACTTCTGGCCGTTATTCCGGAAATCGGCCTTGATTCGGTTCTCAAAGTCCATGATACACTTGGCATAGACACGACCAGCCGTCTTGGAACCATCGGGAAGCTTCATCTTGCGGATCTTGGTCCGAAGAATGTTGCTGAAGTTTCGGTTCAGGGCGGTGGAACCACACGAGTCACCGGAACCAGCTGTACACTCAGCGACAGTGAAGGGGTTCTCCTCCTCGACCTCGTACGCGATCAAATCGACAGTACCACCACCACAATCCACAATCAGTACGGCATCGTGGACCTTGAGGTTCAGGAGACCAGTCTTGGAGCAGAAGAGGGCGGCTGCCTCGGGCTCAGAGACCAGGGTAAGACGGTTGTCGTTCTCGTCCCTAAGGAAACCAGCCTGGATGGCTGCAGCTCTGGTGGCGGCTTTGCCGGCATCGTTCCAGATAGCAGGCACGGTCAGATAGTATCGGATGTTGCGCTCTTCTCGGTTAAAGACTTCACCCAGCGTCTTTTGCAGAGCTGACCGCATGGCCTGTCGGAGCTTGAAGAGGTAATCGGCGGCGACATCGATTTCGGACTTTCCTGGGGGCAGAGGAGGGAGGTTGATGGGATCGATGTAGGTGTTTCCGCTGAGCATCAGCTGAAGCTTGAACCACTCAACCTTTTGCACACCGGGCTTGGGGTATCCGGTGGGAGCGAGGGCGTCAGCAATATCGGGACCCCATCCTACCACCTTTTGGTATTGATCGTAGTAAAGCACTGTGGGAATCTGGAGAATAATGGATTTAGTTTCTGCGCCCCTTGATATCTGCTGCTTGTCTCGATTTCACGTACCTTTTGCTTGGTGTAAGAACCAGCACCTGGCCACTCAGTAATAATGTCTTCCTTGGCCTCGTTGTTGGTCGCAAACGCAAAAGCAACGCCAGAGAAAGTGGTACCCTGGTTTCTCAATTAGCCACTGCGCTTCTGAACTGGGAACCCTTCAAGTGCGTACAAAATCAATGCCCACGATCAGCTGGGCCTTGCTCCGGCTGGCTCCCTCAACCTCAGCAGCGGGGCCCGGGCGCTGAAACTGCTGACCGATGGGACCGCCTTGAGGAGGAGGAGGACCGGCCGGAGGGTAACCCTGAGGTGGAGGAGGCTGTCCAAAGCCGGGAGGACCTCCCATCGGGGGAGGACCTTGGCCCATGGGAGCCATTCCGGGAGGGTAGCCCACGGGGGCACCGGTGTTGATCGGGGGCGGACCGCCAACCATTTGGCTGGGAGGAGTGCGGTTGGGCTGCTGGGTGAGGGGACTGGTGCGGCCGAGGGGATTTTGACCGGGAGGAAAGTTGGCTGTATAGCTGGGCGGACGATTTCCAGCGCCCGGGTGATTCATTGGGAGGCTTGTCGTGGACGACGAGGCGGCGATTGAGGGAGCGTTGAGCTGATGTTGATGTTGATGTTGGTGAGGAGGCTGAGGCTGCGGTATTTGGCCCGGAGGAGGGGTTGGGCTTGGGGTCAGACCCTCGACGGTTTGGATGCTTGCAGCGGACTTGCGTTTTCCGAAGCCAAAGCTCTTGAAGCGGGAGTTCATAGAACTCATATGGAAGAGAGGAAGAGGAGCAAAGGGGGGAGGTTTGAGGAGTAGGACCAAAGGTCAGAAGAGGCACAGAGGCACAGGCACAGACGCAGAGGGCGGCGAGGCGAGGCGCCGCAGCAGCAGGACGGGGCAGGACGGAGCGGAGGGGACAGGACAGGATAGGACGACGACGAGGGGGGTGGGTTGGATTGGGATTGGGCGCAGGAGGGGGAGGGGGGAATGAGAGAGGGTCAGGCTCGGGTTCGGGTCAGAAATTAGCACGGGGGGTGGAGGAGAGAAGCGGTTTCTGGAGAGCAGCAGTGTAGCGCAGTGCAGAGCAGAGGCGTCGTGAGTGAGAGTGAACAAAAGTCGAGAGAGAAAAGAGACGGTCTGGCCTGGCCTGGCTAACAGTCCAGCACCAGGTTGTCTAGCTTCCAGGTTGATGCGGCGGGAGTGGGAGCAGGAGGGGGGCGTGCAAAGTGGGATGTACGAGTCTGAAGTGGTCGCCGGCTGGTTGGCTGACAAGCTTGGGCTGAGCTTGGGCTGAAGCAGAGCTGAGGTCTACTTGGGTAGGACTGGACGCCGCTGGCGGCTCTCTTCTGGGCTGGCTTGGAATATGGTCGCCGATGTTCAGTTTGGCTTGCTTCTAGACCTTGGATCCGTCGCCGTTTCTAGGTGCGCTCCGTGGCTGTAGCTTGGGAGCAAGTAAGTTGCCGGGTCGCTCTTCTGACAGCTGGAGCCAGGCATGTAGAAAATGTTGCGAGGTAGCGGGAGAGCCTGTCGACAAAAGGTGGGCTCTCTGTCTGGCTGTGTTGCGTTGGCGTATGTATGGATGGGTAGGTAGGCAGGCCGTCAAGTCTGGCGCTGGCGCTGGCGTGGGCACGGACGAGCCAAACTTGATGATGTCGACGAGACGGTCACAGAGAGAAAATCCGATGGACAAAGAGGCGCAAGCTTTAGCAGGTGGATAGACGATCGGTTCTGGTCGTTGGAATCACTGCTTCCTTCGCTTCTCTCGCAATAAAAAGGAACAATGAGATCTGAGCAGGTCTTTTGGGCTCTTGGGCTGAGGTGGCTGACGAGGCGCTGCAGGCTGGGCACTTGTGGGCAGAGAATCAAGGACGGGGATTCGCAGGACCACCAGAAACAGAGACCGCCCAGGTCCCCCCCTCCAGGTGGAGAAGTCTAGAGCTGACGGCGCTAGGGCGTTTCCAGTAGTGTAAGGCTGAGGGCAGGGGGGATGCAGCAGGACATTCCATCAACTGGCCTACAGATTTTCCTCTCAGCGGCTTCAATGACGGGAAAGAGAATTGGTAGGTGAGCGGGAACTGAGACGAACTGACGGACAGCTACATCGCATTACGGCAGCGGGTAGAGACCCGTCGACACTGCGTCAACGACTGACCTGATACTAACTCAACCTGGGTCTATTTGCCAATCAGGCTGGGCATGTAAGCTCAAGAGTAAACATTTGACCAACAGGATAAGGGCCCAATGCCACGGACAGCGGCCCCAAAAGTCTGCCTCGTTGCCCGTTGCAAAAAAAGAAACTGCCCGCCTGGGGGGTCCCCTCTCGCTGACGGCACGGCTTGTCGCTGATTGATGACTGTGGCTGTGGCCGCTTCAATGGTGGGGTTCTCTCCAGCTCCCCCTCCCCATGGACCAATTGACCGTTTTTCGGTTAGGTATGAACGAGATGGAAGGGAATTGGAAAAGTAGAGGGATGTGGAATCCTGATATGGAAGCTGGCTGCCATTCATCAGCTTTCTGTGTTACTATCCGCGTTTCCTCGTCCAGAGCCTGATCGCTCATGTCAAGTGAAGGTGGGATGGATGGCGGGGAAACCTTTGAGCCACGGCGGGAGCATGCGCATGACGAACGACAAGCAGCAAAAGACGAGGTCGTTGACCCCTCAAACCCCTCGATTGGCCATTTTGCGAGCTTTTGATGGCCTCAAGATGATCGCAATGTCCATAAATTTTATCGGAAACTGATGATTAGTATATCAATCCTCTTTTGACAATCTTCAACACTCTCCCCTCTGCGCATCACTCTTCGACTGCTTCCCCTCCAGTTGACCTGGAGCGTGTGAGGCTCGTACCGCCATGTACCAATTTACCCTCAGCCGCCCTCTCCCCGGGCGGGGACTAGGACATGTCGGGTTTGGGTGACAAATACGATCATGGATGGGAAGCGTCCAATGCAGGGCCCTCAAGTTCAGGACTTCTAGGACTTTTTATGGGGACCTGGACCCCTGATTCTGTACCTGGTTGGGTAACTGTAACCTTGCAACCTTGTCATCATCATCATCTTCTTGTCCTTGGCGGGCCTGGATGAAACGTCCAAGAAAAGCTTCATGTCCTCAAGACGGGAGCTTAATACAAGCTACCTATCGTATCGTACTTACAGGCCACTCACCGCATCGCGAATCCCCCGGCTTTACGCTCGCTCAATTCCGACGACGTGCATGTTGCTGCGCATGGCCTCGCAAACAGCGTGTACAGGTGGAAAAGCCTCTGTTGGGGTTTGGTCTTGGCGCTGTTAACATGGAGGGGCAGTACCAGGAATGTCGCTTTCGGTTTCACGACGGTTGATAAACAAGTCATATTGTGGAGATGTCCTCAATAACTAGATACTCAGGTAGATGCTACTCCAGAGCCATGGCATTAGAATGCCCATCACCTCAAGTTATCTCAAACATTAAATGGGACAACTCCAAGCCCTATCTGTTGTGCTCGGCGACCACATGGTCGGCGCTTATCCAAACGAACCTTTGCATGTACATTGAAGGAGTGCATCTGCACCACACGGACCGTTTTGGCTTCAGACAGACGGCTCCTGTCAGCTTCCGGGCCGCCCAGGACAGACAGACAACATGGACCGCTGGACATGTTTATTCATATCAACAATTTGGACCTTACAGGATATCAGGGGGCTTACTCGTTCGCAGTCTTATATCACCAGGAGCCATCAAGGATCTAGCTCCCATCACGTCTTACCAACTGATCCATATTTAGGTCGTAACCACACGGGAACTAAATTCTTTTTCTCACAGCGCGTAAGCCTCTGTTGCCGTTTCTGACTCGGAATAGACGCGCTCTTTTTTCCTTTCTTTTTCTTGTTTCGGCATCTGCATCTACCGGCTCATCTAAGAACGATTATGAACACTTGGTTGAGACCCAGACCACCATCGAATGCTCTCGGCCTCATTCAGCAGCGATGATCAATGCGTAAAATAGGACGGTCCAGAATAGAGACTATTCAGCGGGACTTCTAGCAAACGGGCCAGACTGTCATGGGCCATCACCCCAAACGCCCAATACTTGATCAGCTTTACACTTGTGCACCTTTCTGCAGACTTACACGCCCAGAAGCAGTCGACGTGGACCCAATCGGATGCCCGGTAATTAGTTCCTTCAACTCTCACAAGATGCTTTCCATATCACACGTTCAGAGCTGCATGCAGTTGACTGCTGAAAGATGATGTATTATTCAATAGACCAAGCCCTCGGTTAATTCCCAAGGATCCTTATCCAACACCTAGCTCCGTTGCTGAGGCTCGCTATGCCAAGTTCACACCTTTTAACACCCTTATGATATACGTATCTCCCTGCCAATGACTTTTCCCACCCTCTCGTTATTCATCATCGTCGTCATCCTTGAGCCATCCTTTGCTCATGTCGACAGCCCGCTCCCACCGCTTCCGCATACGATTTCGGTCCTTGATATCGAGCTGAGGCTTGAAAACTTTGCGGCCCTTCCTGTTCACTTCGTGTAGTTCCTCAAGCTCGTTCCAGACTCCAGTGGCGAGTCCGGCAGCAATGGCGGCCCCCAGTGCGGTAGTTTCGCGCATGGCTGGGCGATCAACAGGGACACCGCTCAGGTCAGCTTGAGTTTGCATACAGAGATCCGAGTTGGATAGACCTCCATCTACTGCAAGGATGTCCAGGGCATGGCCAGAATCCGAGGCCATGGCGTCAAGAATCGCCGCCGTTTGGTGGCAGGTAGCCTCGAGTGTGGCTCGCACAATGTGCCCCTTCTTTGTGTGCTGGGTGACACCAACTGGAAACATGTTAGCTCGGATTCTGAAGCGAGAAACTTGCAAAAAGACTTACAGAGCGTGCCCTTGGCATCGTCAATCCAGTACGGGGCAAAGAGACCGCTGAACGCCGTCACAAAGACGACACCACCATTGTCGGGGACGGACTGAGCGACACCGTCCACCTCTGAAGCCGCCTTGATGATGCCCAGGTTGTTTTGTAGAAACTTGACACCGGAACCAGCAACAGCGATGCTACCCTCGAGAGCGTAGACTGGCTTACGGCCCCGACCAAAGTCGTAGGCGACGGTTGCGAGCAGACCCGTCTTGGAGATAACAGGTTCGTGTCCAACATTGTAGAGGAGGAAGCAGCCCGTGCCATATGTGTTCTTGGCTTGACCTGGGCTGAAACCGCATTGGCCCACCAGAGCAGATGATTGATCACCCAAGCAGCCAGCAATGGGTGTGCCCTTCAGGGGCCCGCGGGCGAGGGCACCAAAGGCAGTGGGATGGGAGGATGGCACGATCTTAGGAAGACCAAGCTTGTTACGGTCGATGTTGAAAAACTTGAGCAGATCATCGTCGTAATCAAGTGTTTTGAGGTTCATGAACATGGTACGGCTGGCGTTGGTCGAGTCTGTGACGTAGACAGGTCCACCCTCCTTTTTGGCACCTCCGTTGAGTTGGTAGATTAACCATGAGTCAACAGTGCCGAATGCGAGGCGGCCCTCGTCATAGGCCTTTCGCACGGAGTCTACGTTTTGGAGAACCCAAAGCA